ATATATATATATATATATATATATATATATATAAAGATATGATTTTTAGATGCTGATGAGGTAAATTATACAATTTATCAACTTAATAGATTTATTCAGAGAGCTGGCTTTCGACGTCTTTGCCGTCATCATTAATCTACAAATAATATAAATGAAATACGAAATAATAAGATGGTATTATCTTCTTAACTTCTTATTTTGTAAAAAAAGTCGACACTCTGAATAGAACCATTTACTAGACGAAGATGACTTCAAATATTTCATCATAAAATAATGATATCTAAGAAAGCAATGAATTTTAACTCAATTTTCGTTAAGGAACAGTAAAACCTTTATGTGTCGTGTGGGGGAAAAGATTAATCAGTGCTTATGTTTTCGAGTTCCTGAATCCCTACACCAACATTTTACTATTAAAAATGATTTGATTGGAGAATCATTCCAACAAATCGTGGTTGACAACATTGAAAAAGTGGAAATGATCGCTCCCGAGTAATTAATTGAGAACGTATTTGCATCGTAAAAAAACCCAGATTTAATTTTATAGAACTGCTAATCATCTGCTAACTAGCAATCCAAACACGAGGCTCAAGTTCTTCCACAACTAGCAAAAGGAAAACTCACAAAACGAGCGCTTATTGAAGGTATATTTATGTCCAAAAGCAAAACAAGGGACCATCTCAGATTTGCTCAAGGTGGTTAGAGTGAGTTATGTGCTTAACATGCTTCTTTTATTGTATTAATCGAAAGATGACCCGCACTCTGGTAGAGTGTGAATGGATATTACCGTCTAGTGTTTGCGTAATGACACCGTAAATTTTGTTATTTTAACATGGTCAGACAGATCTGACCTGAAATTTTTCAACTGTGAGAAAACGAACTGTTGAAAATATTTTTAAAACTCATCTTTAGATAGCTAGCATCTCGAAGAATCAATATGAGCAATTTGAAGGACTTTTATCCTCTCAAATAGGACAAATTTGCAAAATTAAAGAGGCTAAATTTGTCCAAAGGGAGATGTTCGCGCGCTTCTAAGAAGGTCGGGACGGTAATTTGCAACTCGTCAACACCGTACGCATAGCGCGCTTCATTCAAATCAAGCGACAAGTTTTTTTCACGAGAGTTCTTACACTTCTCTCGGTGTACTGAGAGCAATGGAAAGATAATCATTATTAGAAAATCTTACCTTGATATTGCAAAGCTGAAATGTGATGTATATAATGATTTGAACAATTTAAATGAAAAACTCAATTAAATTAATATTCCAAATGAATCACTTTGGTACTACTCTCTAACAAAATAAAAAAGCTTGCGACTCCCATCTCTGTGCCCTGATTTTCTAAATAAATATTCCTAAAACTTCTAAAAAGTTTTTATCTTAATAATAAACATTAATAAAATAGTTTATTGAATCTCAATATTTGAATTTAAAATTATATTGTTTTGAACACTATTAACAAAACATGAGTGAGAAATTAAAAATGAAGTTTTCACTTTGTAAGGAATTTGTTAATTTACGTCGGTATTTGTACAAGGGTTTCATTTATAATAATTAGTGTATTTAGTTAATGAAGGATTATTTTTGAAGGAGTGCTCAATACGTTTTCTCCTTGGAGGCTCTCTGTATTGAATCCTGCCATGTGCAAATGAAATCGAAATTGTAAGATTGTGTGTAACATCAAGGCAAAGCATTACAAAAGGCCATGCCACTTGGAAACCTCTTTTGAAGATTTTATTTCCAACAAAGATATAACTGAATTACTGTGTGTAAAAATAATGGCAATGCAGCTCTCAGAATTATATAATACTGTATTTTTATTTTATCAGCAGAGAGAGAAAGAATGAAAGAAAGAAGTTTTCGTGGTTTGTTATAATATTTAAATAATTGCAACAGTGTACGCAGAGCTGGATTTACGCATAGGCAGAGTAGGCACGTGCCTACGGTGGCAAATTTTCAAAGGCGCAAAATTTTCTAAAACAAATTTAGGTTCTCTAAAAACTATAACAGCGTAAATCATATTTTTATTTTTAAAATGATTTAAACGAGACTAAAGCCGCCTCCTCAACCTTTGATTTATAAATCAAGTTTGAATTTCAAATGGGGACATTTTCTATGTTACAGAATACATACAAGAATTTGCCAACGTCTTCTGATTGGTTGATTGAGCAGAAAGAATTACATTCTTAGAGTATGGAGTTTGAATTAGCCAATCAGAAATCGGATTTCGCCATGCATTCATATTGCGCTGTATAGAAAGTAGCGACATCTATTACTTCTTGAGTTAGTTCTAGAAGACGGATCTGGAAAAACCAATGCCACCTAAAACATCAGACCTATTGGCAGGCGGCCATATTGCTTCTGACGTCACTACTTGTAGCAGACGCCGCGGCGCTACTTGTTCGGTTTACGAGAAGTTCGGGTTACGAGAAGTTGCCTTACAGTTCTACTTCGAAATTGCTTTCGACCCCGAAAGTGGAGAAGAATCCAGAGTAAGCGTTGCAGTATAAGGGAAAGAAATTCAGTTTGTCGAATAAAAAGGACAAGACTGTGGTACACTTAATAGATGAAATATTGTTGAAGACAAATTTAAACTATAAAGGAGGAAGTATTGTTGGAACTGACATTAATGAAGAGGAACATTCATCAACAGCTTGTGTGTTCATGGAAACTAGTCTGATTTCATCATACAAATATGTAGTTTATAAATATCCGGTCAGAAAATTGGCAGGTGAGTTGCTAAACCAATTTATCAAAACCATTATTGCAGGGCTTGAAAAACTTGGTTTTGAAGTGATTGCAGTGATTTCTGATAACAATCATGTGAACCGACAAGCCGTGTCCTTGCTTTCCGATCCTCCAAAACTAGAAAGAGCTTATGAATAGCCATGCAGTTTCCATAGAAAATTACTTCTTTCTTTTGACAGTGTGTATCTCTTGAAGTGCTGGTTAAATGAAGATAAGCAAGAAATTAATTTTTCTACTATGGAAAACGGTATTATGCATGTAGGATCATTTAAATGCCACATTTAGTGCGCAATTTGAGATGCACAATAACTTTAAATATGGCATAACTTTAAATTTAAAATCGTTCATCTCTTTTTAGTTAAAAATTAAATGTTAATTGAACGAAATACAATAAAATGCTGTGAAAATTCCTTTCTGTAAAATATCGTTACTAAGGCGGCTAAGAAGGCATGTAAACGTTAACTAACAGTGACAGGCGAAAGATTCGTTTGTCCCGTATGATTACCCATGTGACGTCACAGCGTCAGTCGACAGGCCTTATATTAGTGTCTAGGTGGCATTGGGAAAAACCCTTTTCTTTCTTTTGTTACTATTGTTGTGTATCGTTTATTGTAAGATCCTGCTGAGTAAAAATGATATTTTGTAGTTTTAAAATGAGTGATTATCGAAAAAGGCTCAGCGGAAGTCAATATGCAAAAATCCGAAAAGAAAAGGAAATGTCAAAATGAAATTGATAAGACAAAAAAAATAAATTCTTTAAACCTATATGTGGAACTGATCACTGCTACAGTTTATTCGACAATATTCTATTACTGAGTTAGTATAAATATATAGATTAGATAACATATTTACTTTTAAGCTTGTATATTAAAATGCAAAAAATGTTTAGTACAATGATTAGAAATTAAATATTCTTTACGTGTTGTTGTATTCGTTAAAATGAACTATATCTTAATATATTTTGTATAATATGTAATAATACATATAATATTTTCACTCATTTATTCAGGGTTATCACTGATTCTAATAATGAGACTGCAAAGCTCCAAACAGCAAAAATTAAATGGTTCCTCAAGCAATTGAAAATATAACTGAGATTGATTATCAGTCGACGATTCAACCGATGTAAATGGTTTAAGATTAGTTTGTATAAATAATTATACATATTATATATATATATATATATATATATATATATATATATATATAATAATCTTCCTAGAATATTTGTTTATAATATTACAATACATTATTATAATAATTTATTATTTTCTTTTTGAATTAAATAGGATTTTTACCCAATGTACACAACTGCAAGAGCATAAAATTGATGAAATCATAACTTCGACTGATCGTATTTGTTGGCTTTGTGGTCTATTAATCAAGCTACACGTGATTATGTTGCCAAGCATCGGTCCTAACAAAACAAAAACGCTGACTTTTCTAAATCAAGAAAAGAGTACAATGAAGGCAAAGTTCGTAACTTATCGTCGAATATATTTGAATATACGCATATCAGTAAAGAAAAAATTGCTCGCAAATGGCTTCTTTACTCTGAGAGCAATGGAAATGTTTTCTGCAGTGTTTGTCTCTTGGTTTCCATCAATTCAGAAGTAAGAACAAAATAATCATCGGAGGGATTCAATGATTGGAAAAATGCGCATACCAAATTAAAAGACCATAGAATTCTACATGTCATAGAAAATACGTCCGCATTGAAAAATAGACAGCGGACTGAAAACCAAGTGAATAAGCAGCTGCATGAACAAGTTGAAGGCTACTTATTGGAGGAATGTTTTTGAGCGTGTCATTTTAGAAATAAAAACTCTTGTTTCAAGAGGGTTTCCTTTAAGAGGACATGTCGAAACGTTTGGAAATAATCAAAATGATAATTACATGATGTTGCTTGAGTTAATTTCGAAATATGACCACTTCTTAGCAGATCACATACAAAAATTTGGTAACTGCGGAAAAGGAAATACATCGTATTTATCCACCACGACGTGACAAATATGTCTTTACACAGGTCTTCAAGCCCGTATGAAAGATGTAAAGGCTCTAATTGAATTCATCCCCTTTTCTGCTCATTCTTTAAATTTAGCTGGTACAAATGCAGCTGAATAATGCACTGAAGCATATACTTATTTTGTACTTCTACAAAATTTATATAATTTCTTTAGTGCATCTACATCAAGTGGGACATACTTCAAAATGTAGTAGGTGAAGGATCCAGTACATCCTCTTTGAAAAGTCTTTCATTTACGCGCTGGTCAGCTCGGGATGATGCATGTCAGGGTCTAAAACATCGTTTGCAAAATGATTTAGATGCCCTTCAAATAATATCGGATGATTCTATGCAAAAACCTTTAACGCGTGCAGAAGCTAAAGGTCTTATTGTTGCTTTAAATTGACTTGAAATTGCTATTATGACCAAGGTTTGGGGATTCATTTTAGACCGCTTGAATGCGTCAAACAAACAACTGCAAAAAGTCGATATCGATTTAAGTTCCGTGGTTGGTATTTACACCTCGCTTGTAGAAATTTTAAAAACGAACAGAGACAATTTTGAATTTTTTGAAGAGAAGGGTAAGAAGCTGTCAAATACTGAAACATACGAATCGGAAAACAAAAGAAAAAGGAAACGTAAAATGCAATGTAATGAAACTAACGAGAATGCAGCAGAACTGACCTTACGAGACAAGTTTAAAATCGACACTTATTTGGTTATTGTTGATAAATTACTTGCAGAATTGAATAAGAGACTTGAAGCGTATAAAGATGTATATGACAAATATAAGGCTGTCATTGAAATAGAAAAATTATCTTTGTTAAATTTGAAAAAAGTAGCGATATTTTTATGTTCACAATTTCTCCAAGATCTTGAAGAACCGCTGTTTCTTAGCTTATACATTTAAGTTCGTATTTAAAAATACTTGATAAAGATGTTAAACCAACGAATCCTGCAGCTTTATAAAAGTGGTTACGGAGAGAAGAATTACATTGTATTTGTCCTAACGTTTACATTGCACTTCGAATCTTTTTATGTATTTCGGTGGACAATTGCACAGCAGAACTTTCATTCTCTTGTTTAAAAAGGATTAAAAATTATTTTCGTTCTACAATGACAGAGTATCAACTGAACCCCTTAGCGTTATTGTGTATTGAAAAAAAGTATCTCAGCGTTTTAAATTATACTATAATTATTGATGAATTTACTCACCAAAAGGCACGTCGCAAAATTTTACATCAATACACCAATTAGCTATAATTAATAAAACGTTATATCAACTGTATAAAAAACCCATCCAAAAAGTTAAATGTTATATTCCTTGTTTATAACGGTAAATCAAAAATTATAAAAACTGTTACAACGTCGTAATATTCTAATCGTTCAGTTGTAAATAAAAGTCTATCATATTAATATTTAATACAAGCTATGTATTTGTTTACTTCATTAGAGTATACCTTATGATTTCAAAAGTATATGCATCTGAAAGTAAGGCCCGTTGACGAAAGAAAACATGTTGCAATTCTAGTTGTCATGTTTTAGTTTCCTTTTAATGTTAACGTTTCAGAATTGAAACGTTAATAATGTTGAACGTTACTTGCTATGAAGATACAGTTTATATCCAAAATTTGCTAATCCAAATAATTATTTAATTTATGAAAATAATGTGCAAAATATAATGTTACTTTTAAAGTTAAAACGTTCAAATTAATGAGGAATTGTTACTTAAACGTTACAGTTTGAAATGTAACATTAATTTTAAACAGGGGGCGACAAATTTGATGTGCCTATAGGCGGCAAAAATATTGATCCGCCCCTGAGTGTACGTGAGTTGTGTACTTGTTGTTGAGCATAGTGTGTGCTACTTTTGGGAAAACAGTTTTGTGTGGTTTGGTTCAGCATAGTTCTTTATAGAGTTCTACTAGAGAACGAGTCGTGCGCTTGAGGGCGCTCTCGCAGCTGGCGAGGGCTGTGCTCACTTGGTGGTAAGCGCGCGCAGGGCCACCGGGTCGCTCTGGCCCTGCGCCTCCACCAGCGCCAGGATGGAGCGCCAGTCGCCCGCCACCGGGTACAGCTTCTCCTCGAACTCGCTCTGGCCCACGTTACAGAAGGTGGTCGACACGTGCACGAACGCCTGCGACACAAGGTTGATTAGAGTCTCCGGGCGCATCAGCGACTAAGAGCGTTAGTCCCGAAAGTGTTGAACACGTTTTTTATCAGAGGAGGTGGCGGGGTGGCGGTGAACTTCCCCTGCTGGATGGCGAGATCCAGAGCTTAATTACGCGTCGACTAGCGGTGTGTTCCCAAACCAGGTGTCTCCCAACTGCAGGGCACATCCCAACTGGAATATGTCCTAAGCTCCCCGCATGTGTGGTAGTATAGTGCAAGTAAGTGTATGTATGTATAAGAAAGGGGTGAGGAGAGGACAAGGAAGAGGAAGAACAGAGGAAAAGGAAATGATCACGCGGGTTTTGTGGTCCGTTTGGCAGGGAATTTGTCTGGTGTTCATCGAAAAAAACACGCAAAACTAGCGATCAGAGCAGCTAGCCGCTAGCCTCTAGAGTTCTCCTCCAGACAGCGACCTAGCTAGAGTCCTATTAAATGAACTAGATGATAGGCAGTAGCAAGTGGCGGGGGCTCTGTTGCCAGGTTACTACGTACCACTGGGCACGTGTTTTCGGAAAACGAAAATAAACATTTGAAGTAAATATTTATAGGGTGCGGACGTATTCTGGGAATCTCCGCAGATAGAAGAAAAAGGTGATGGGCTGCTGCTTAACGCTATACAAGGCGGGAGTTGGGAGTTGGAGGCGATGGCATGCGAGTTGAAGGCGATGGCACGGTTGCATGCAACGACGCACTGGGTGTGCAAGAGTAATATTGGTTGTGTTGGAGCGGCATTGTTGTGTGCTGCGTTTCTCGACACGTTGTTGTTAATTGGAGGTGTCGAAGCGAATCCTGGTCCTGGCGTGGAAGATGGACACAAGTGCAATAAGTGCGAATGAAATAAGAAGAATTTATTTCAGAGTTTGGAGGTAGAAATAGCGAAGGTTTCCTTCGGCCGAGGCTTCCAAACTGTTTAAATGTCTAGTGTTACCCACAGGAGGATGGATGGACGAAGAAATGGATGAACATACGGACGGATGGATAGATGGACGGTCGGAGACAGATAAATCTATTTTTCATTACGACTCACAAATCGTACATCCTGATTACGTGTTAGAAGATAATGTTTACGCACGTTTTTGATATAGGGCATCACAATGTCAGTTTATGTGACGAAACATTTAAACTTTCTTTTACGGGTGCAGCTAAGATCCCCCACTCTTTGCAAGCGGAATGAGCGGTGGGTGGGCGTACCTTGAGCTTGGTCATGCGCGTGGCGAGCTCCAGCAGGTCGCGCGTGGCGCACGCGTTGGTGTGCACGGCCGTGATGAGCGGGTCGTCGAAGCGCACGCTGGCCGCCAGGTGGAACACCACGGACACGCGCTCCGCCAGCACGCGCGCGTCCGCCTCCGCCAGCGCCAGGCCGGGCTGCGCCGAGTCGCACTCCACCGCCTGCAGGCGTCCCAACGCCCCCGGCCGCTGCGCGCGCACCCGGTCGAACAGCTGCGCAACACTCACACCCACAAATTTAGTAAAAGATCTTTATCTAGTGGTAAAACCAGAATCCATGTTTTGTTGGTTCTTCATACCGAAAAATAGATTGACGTCAGTCAATTGTCCGTATGGCCGTCTGTCTGTCTGTCATTGTGTCAATCTGTGGTTAACGCTAGCGCCTAAACTGTTCAACTGTTATTCTTGAAAATTGATATACCCTGCTTCGTCTTAACGGACTGGAGGCATTGAGAGTTTTTAACGGATATTTTGATTGTTGATGTTTTTTTACATAAATATTTCATTTACCTTTTTATACGTTTTTATAAGTAAATTTCACATGTCCAGTAACCTTGTTATTTTTAAGGCTTGTATTTATTTTCATGATAAATATAGTTTACTGAAAAAATACTGACTATACAAGTATGATAATGTGCTGGGCAGTGCAGTGAAAAGAAGTGGAAGACATTTTTTCTTTTCTTTTGTCTCTCCCTCTTTGGTGTTGATTGTGCTAATGTCTACTAAGCTATTTTATTAAGCTATGATAATGAGTATATTAAGTGTTATAATGGGTTTAATTAACTTTTATTGTGTATTGTAACTTTGTGCTGTTAGGTTAAATTTATGCACTAAGTTGTTTGAAAAAAAATACTTAATTGGAATTATGTGTAAATGAATCTATGCGAAAAATGTGCAAGGATGAAGGTACAAAGTGAGGATCGGTAAGTGTATATGTATATTATACACGCACACACACAATGTTATCCCATTTTATATTTTTCTGTAAAATAAAGGTATAAATATTGAAATTTTCTAATATGACAACAATGTAAATTAAGTAAAATTCAATTTTTCGACGTCGCAAATACTAAATTATTTTGCCTATGTTAAACATATTTTTATAAATATTTTAAGTGAATAAAGGAAAATAATATCTCCTTTAATATATGTTGTTATATTATCATAATACTACCACACATTTTCATTGGACAAATTAATACACAAACTATAGCTGGATTGCTGCTAAAAGTTAATTAGTAGATTATTTTCTAGATTACTAGATAGTAGATCAATACTAGAAGCATTAAGAGCTCTGCTAATACTAAAAGCGCGTCTTGTAAAGCTGTGCGCAATGGCGGAGACATTACAAGGGTACACTCTGAGTAAGCGATTGTCTACCCAGTAATTTACAGATGTCTCCCAATAAATGCTAAAAACGTGTAGAGCATGAAGAGGAGTTAAAATATTTGCAAATGCACATTAAGTGGGAAGCTTCAGCAAGTACATCTTTAAAGATAAAAAAATCATTTTTCAATTTATTTTTGTCTTCAATGTGATGAACGAATTTTTCAGTTATCTTTTCTTATTCTCGAGATATGTCTTTAAATTAAGCTTGTTTTGTGCCATGCTTGTCTTGTAAGATGCATGGCAACTGTTACAAATTAAGTAAAAACAATAATACAAATTAGGTAAAAATAATAATAAGCCTAGAAGCAACAAAAGAAATTAGAAACTATAGGAAGAAGTTGAGAAAGGAAAAAGATGCAAGAAACAAACCGAATGAGGGTCTAGCTTATGGACCTGGAGCATTCCAATGTCAACCAAATGCTTCCCTAACTTCAAAGCTCATTTCCCGTAAGCTTGATTTTTTGAACTGATTTGCTTAATAACTAAAAAAAACTGTTTCAAATACACTAGTAAAGTTTTGCTTACTAATGTACATGCATTAAATGAACAACGTTTACTAGAATCTTTCCTCTAACATCAGAAATACATCTAAAAAAATATTTTAAAGGAAATTATTTCTAAAGAATGTGTTTATTAAATTAATTGCGAAAAATCCTAGTAACAGAAATTAAGAGTTGTAGTGAATGTTGTAGATGTAAGACTTACATACGAACCAATGTAAAAATGAAGTGAAAATTTAAAAAAAATGGAAAGTTGCAAACCCTTTCCAATTGCAAAATTTAGAGATATGACTTGAATTTCTTTCTATATTGCCATGAGTAACATTATTTATAACTTTTAATGCTGCTTTGGAATGACTAAACACTTACCAACAAACACAAAAAAATTACTTGTACTAGAACGTATAAATTCTGAGATAAAAATGTTAAATTTCACCAAATTTATGCCAATCAAAGGTGTACCGCGAATGAATACATGTGGCATTTTCCCTATTTGTTAGGCAAACCCCGTAAGTACAATGTTCTGTTAGGACATGAAATTGATGACATGACTACCTTAAAACGTGACCTGCCACCTGAGCATGAAGATTTCCAGGCAATTAAAGACGTATTTCACAACTGTAACTTCGTATTTTGATATTACCTAAACGGGAACCTTTTTGACCCTCAATTAGAATTGCTATTACTACCAGAAAGCAGTAGAAGATTGTAACATTAGTGTGCGGTGCTGACCGGGACGTCGAGCAGCTTGTGCAGGCGCTCCTGCACCGAGAGCCCCTTGCGGGGGCGCAGCAGCACGTAGACGGTGTCGATGTCGGGGCAGTAGAACAGCAGCTTCTCCAGCAGCACGCGCCCCACGAAGCCCGAGCCGCCCGTCAGCAGCACGCTCTGCCCGCGGTAGAACTCGGCCACCGTCCACGGCAGCACGTCCCCCTCGGCCTCGCTGCGCGCCTGCTCCGCCGCCATCTGCGCACAAAACACAAACGCTCAGCAAACACTTGGCAAGTGACAACGCGGAAGCTTAGTGCTATGCTCTTCGAAGGGAAAAGAACTTCATCGTAACATACTTGCACTCGAACACAAGGCGAACCTGTGAAAGTTGGCAAGCTAAAATTAATTGATTGATGTTTCCGGGCACAACGACTGCTCTGGATATTTGTCCCGTAGTATAGTGGATCGTTTTTTGCTTGGAGTTGGCGTTTTCCTTTTTCGGCTGTTTGGCGTATGTAGGCTTGAGGGGAATTTGTCCTCCTACGAGCTACGCGTCTGCCAGAACAAGTTTTATTGACTAATCTGTCAGATGTGGCGGTGCAGTGTATTTGTGTTGAAGAAGCCCATGGGAATTGCGATGCCCAGCGACGCCAGAGCTGTGTAGCTCAGTGGCCTGCGGGCGCGCTCAGTCACTCCTCGTTTGGCCAATCGACACGCGCCTCCTCACCGTGGAAAGAGAGCTCATTGGGAACGCCCATTGCCGCTGGGGGCTGCCCTTGCCACTACCGAAGCATCAAACGGGCATTTCAAAATTAAAGGATATTTGCATACTCACATTCGTTTTAAAATATTCAAAGTAAATTTAATAATCAATCTAGAAGAAGAAGTAGAAGAGAAGAACTGTAAAATCTGTATAATTTGTGAATTTGTGTAAGAGAATAGTCAAAGAGCAATATATTTCGTGATAAAATTGGTTTAAGGGATTGATCAGTATGTGTAAAGAAATAATTAGTTATGCCAACGTTTCGAAATATTTAATTTATTTTGGGCTTACTAATACTCATTAAAAAAGAACTTAAGAATATAATTAACTGCAGTGGGGAGCACAAGGCTAACTATAAAGGCTGCAAAGCTTAAAAAGAAGCAGTTAAAATATATAATTGGAATCAAGCTAATCATAAATTTTCATCACACAAACTGCCCAATAGGCAGTTCTCCAATCACCAACTGGATCAGAACACGCAACCTTATCACAATGCCCCTCAAGAGTTTCCTCCTCTGCCGCTTAATTCAACGCCCTTGCATTCTTTCGCTTATCGCACTAGTCAGCCGCCTAGGTCAGATAACAGGAATTCTCCCCCAGTTCTCCAAAATATGAATGTAATAAACGAAAACCTAATTCAAACTGCAATCTTTCCTCAGTTGCAACAAATGGTTCAAAGAATTTGTTCTGTTAATATCAATGGCACAAAATAAAATAGAAAACTTCAAAATTCTCAACTGGAATGCAAATGGCGTAAAGCGCCCAGAGAACGAATGAAGATACTTTCTGCAAGTCCATGACATAGATGTTGCATGTATTTCAAAAACACATTTAAAACCGGTAGAAAAATTTTCGACCCGAATATTTATCATACCGCAGTGATTGAATTTCTCAAATAGCATCAAGTGAGGTAGCAATTCTCATCAATAGGAAAATTAAACATAAACTGATACAATCTACATCCTCAAATGAAATAAAAACAATTATCATCAAAATCGAATTGATCTCTTCTAACATAACTTTAATTGCAGCATATAAACCTCCCAAAAAAAAGTTTCCGTCAAGTTTCTTGAAAACATTATTTGATGGTAGATCGCAAATAATAATAGCAGGAGACCTGAATTGTAAAAACCAAGTTTGGAACTGTAATATTACTTCATATAATGGAAAACTTCTTCATAAATTCGCATTGCAAAGAAATCTGAATATACTAGCTCCTCCAGAGCCCACATACTACCCCTATAACCGAAATGTAGTTCCTGATATTCTGGATATAGTTATTACACAAAATTAAAACATTCCGATTTTCCAAAATGTGAAACCAGAATTAGACTCAGACCACAATCCAGTAATACTTTCGTTCAATGCTGAACCTCAGGCTCAAAACGAAAAAATTATCGAGGGAAACGTAAATTGGGACATGTATAGAAACATTCTAACAAATGAATATCAGTATCCTAAGAATCTTAAAACATCATCTGAAATAGACAGTTGTATCAACTCTCTCGAAAAAATTATTAAAAATGCTATCAAAAGGTCATCTACTAAAGTTAGGAATTTCACCAAAAATTATACTCCGCTTCCTAAACTACTACTAAATTTAATTAAAGAAAAATATAACCTTTGTAGAATGTGGCAATATTCACACAATAAAACAGTGAAACAAAAATTAAACAGCATATCTGTAAAAATTAAACAAGAATTACAAAAACTGAGGTGTACACATTTCCAAAACTTTTTAGGCAGCATTCCTCCAAACTCCAGGACAATGTGGAATGCAATTAAAATGATTACCAAAGAAAAATCTTTTATCCCTCAATTATCTTTTAACACGGGACTAGCAACGACACGGAAATTTTGACAAAATATTTATAACTAACTCGGTAACCGACTTTGACTTCCAATTAGAAGGGGAAGAAAACTTATTAATACCGCGATATTCTGTCCTAACAAAAACTAAATTTATAGCCCCGTCTGAAACATATCAAAAAAAAGGCTTTAAAACAGAAAATCTGCAGGCCACGACTTAATAAATAATAAAATGATGAAAGAATTACCTCGCAATGCAATTACTGCTTTCACAGCTCTCTATAATGTTTGTTTAAGATTAGAATATTATCCAAAGACCTGGAAAACTGCTATTATAGCACCAATATGTAAGCCGAACAAAACTCCACAAGATCCTCTTAGCTATAAACCAATTAGTTTGTTACCGACTTTTGCCAAAATGTTTGAAAAACTTATAAAATCCCAACTATTCACATTTTTCACCGAAACCAATGCGCTACCAAATACGCAGTTCGGATTCCATCCAAACCACTCCACAAGCCATCAACTATTAAGAGTAACGGAGTACATTGCTCAAGCATTTCATAACCGAATGTACACAGCTGCAATTTTCCTCGACATCGTACATGCCTTTGATATCTGGGGCTACTTTACAAGTTGCAAACATTAGGAACCCCCGATTATCTCCAAAATATCATTAAAAGCTTTCTGTCAGAGAGGGATTTCATAGTTAGTAATTACAACATAATCAGAGCACAGTAAAAATTCAAATCAAAGCGGCAGCCGCACATGTTCCCCACTTTCCTCCCTTGATTGTTTCACACACATATATATATATTATATATATATATAGTATATATATGTATATATATAGTATATATTATATATATATATATATATATCAGACTATCCAGAAATGACTTACTCGGAAATAGCACTTTATGCAGATGATACAGTATTATTTGATGCAAATTCAAACATTACCAACGCTTGCAAAGATCTCCCCTAAATCAATTTGTCGAATGGACAATAAAATGAGGGATTGCCATAAACCCTACCAAATCACAGCCTAAAATATTCTTACTAAGAAAAATACATCAACCACGACAAATTAAAGTTAATAATACTGCCATTCCTTGGCTTAATAATGAAACGCATGTAAAATACCTGGGTGTATTACTGGATCAAAAATTAACATCGAAAACCATATTCAAGAAATAACGAAAAAAACATACTCAACAATTAACAAAATTTACCCCGTAATTAATAAAAAGTTATCGCGTAATCTGGATTGCGCAGTATCAATCTTTAAAATGATAATACGTCCCTCATTAACATATGTCTGTCAAATTTGGAACAATATAGTAAACACACATCTAAAGAAACTACAAATTATTCAAAACAAGTACCTAAGAAAAGCCATACAAGCCCCTTGGTTTATTCCAAATAAGCAAATTCACAGAGAGCAAAATATTTCTTCCATTAACTAATATATTCAACACATTAGAAACAGATTTTTCACCCTGCTTCCGACGTGTACAAGTTCACAAATATTTGATCTAGGCAAAAATGCTTCCATCCCAACCCGCATTATCTCTCGATACCCCAATGACTCTCTAAAACCACCTTAAATTAGAATAATTTCCATCCTCTCCCATTAATCAATTCCCCTGCGGGAAAAACAACAACCAAACTTAAACGAATTTCCTTTTGAATTACTGCTCTGCAGACTTTGTTTACGAGGTTGCCGTGTGGCCCTCCTCAAATACTGTTAGCCGAAAGGCCAAAAATTATGTGTATTAATAAATTGTAAATTAAAAACCCTGAAATGCATATTATGCCGAACAGGCAGAAAATAAATTTAAAAATAGAAAATAATTATTTCGAAACGTTTGCATAAATAATTGTTTACTTGCACACACTGACCAATCCCGTGAACACATTTTATTATTCATTAGTGATCGTCATTTCTACAATGGTCAATATATTTCGTGTTTGTCATTGTTGGTAGCACATTTCTTAATTTACATAAGTCTTGTCATTTCAAATATTAGGCTAGTACGATACAACCCAGAGCCATCCCCATCCAGCTAAATTATGTTGCCATCTGAATTTCAACGCAGGTGTTAGGTCTGGAAACTACCAATTATTTCGGTATGTCTTGATAACCTGACATGCATTGAACAGCACACGCGAGGCTAGAACAACCAAAAGGCACATCACACTTGTGTTTTTATGACAGCAACTTACTGTATTCATTACGGGTGTAGTTAAATGCCGCGTCCTTGACGATCGACCTTATCCTTTGCACTTCCTTCCAGAGGCCGCGCGTAAATTATTTCATCGACAGACTAGTGTCGTGAATTTTAAGTTGATCAAAGACTTCGAATAAAACAAAGGAATTGTGCAAAAAAGCAACTTTATATCGCATTAAAACACCTGTGAATATATAAATAGAGAGAATAATAATGAATCCTAGAAATCCTAAAATTTACGATCGAAAAGTATATTTACATCTGTTTCGTCTTAAACCAGGTAGTACTTTCTCTATGTTATGACCTTGTGTTTTCGAAACTGTTCTATACTCTGTCACGCTATTCTGAGCATTAGTATTTACGAACCAAAACATCCGCAGATAAATAATAAATATATATAATAGGGTTAAAAAATCGTATTTAGTAACAGAAAACTCTTGTTCGGATCCAGTATCGTGCTGATG